TTCTTTTGCGGTGGGAAACTGCCGCATAGAGTTTGCTAGAAATTCAGAAGCAACTAATGGGTTAGAGAGCTCATTCCATGCACCATCATAGCTATACAGATATGTAGATGCTCGACTGATAGAGAAAGACCCCTCTAAATAGAGCTTAGCAGAGGGGAAAGCTTTATCTCAAACACGGGCTGTAGACTAACTTGCATGAATACAGGAGGCTAGTTTAAAAGGTATGAGACTCCTGGTCCATCTGGTTCAGTATTGTCTATACTGTCTGGCAGCAGCTTTCTCTCCCTTAGAGAAGGGAGTGTTTCCCCACCCTACCTGGAGGGGAGATGCCAGAGTTTGAACCGAGGACCTTCTGCATGCAAAGCAGATGCTCTTCTGCTGAGTTATGAACCTTACCTAAGGTGTTAATGTTCAAAAAACATAAGTCCAACTTTCTCTAGGGTATGCAGAAATAAATAGCCACATGGTCCTCTAGATCCCAGACTTTTGTCTTAGGCAAAATTATGGATTCATAGAATAAAACTTCCCAGCTTTTTAATGTGTGTGTACACACGCACACACACACACCAATATAGTAAGAAAAGTTGCTATTGCAAAAGATGAACACAGCATACTAGAAGGATCACTCATCCATTTAAGTAGGGTTGGTATGGAAACCCCTTAAAATCCACATTAATACAAACAGGTTTTGCCCAGCACCAGTGACTGATGGACTGCATCCACATCCTCCCTAATAAACCTATATTTACAACAGATTTATACAGATGTCAAGAGACATTAGGTCAGGGATGCTCAGGGCCCAAAATAATGCCTTTCCTTGTGCTGCTAATAGAGCATGAAGGGACAGATTCTCACCAGGGCCAAAGCAGGCCTCACAGTCTCCGGCATTAGGCCGCTCTACACCAGCTGTGCATCAGACTTAATGCGCTTCCTTTCCCACTGCTTGCCAAGTTGTGTTTAACATTGGATTAGCTAATGCGATTCCCCCGGGTCACGTTCTAGCTCAACCTGATCTGCCACTGAAGACAAGGCCCTGGAGAGCTTGTGACCAGAATGAGGGAATTATTTTGTTTCTTAGCCTTGCTGCTGCAAGATGCGCCACTTCTCCCACAGCAGTGGAATCTGTCATGGGAGCTCAGTGTTGCCAAAACACCCAGGTGTTAATTAAATTCCCAACTACGCCGTAATCGAGTGGGGAAGCGCACAGTTCAATGAGTGAGCAGTAGCTCTTGTCTTTCTCCCTCAGCCAGATTACTTGCGCTGATAACACAGGCCGGAATATGCAGGAGAAATCCTCTAGACTAAATTAGGTGGCTCTGTACATTTTAAACCATTTAAATATATATCTATATCTCTATCTATCTATCTATATATATATATATATATATATATATCACATTGCAGGGACAGGAGAGGCAGTTTACCACAACCTTAACTGATCAGAAGGGGCAGCGTTCTCCAGCAAGGAGATAGGAACAGAATGTATTCAGGGTTGTTTCAGGCAAAAGGCACGAAAGCTGTGTGCCAGGTTCTCTTGTATGGCCTTCCTTGACAGTCTGAAGAGAAAGCTCACAGGTGTACTAGAAATGTGGGTTGTTTTGCTTTCTTATTACATTTTGAGCAAAACTCTGGAAGGCTCCAGGGCAAACCTGAAACCTGGATAGAATGGCCACTTTCACACTGCAATAACAAAAAGGCAAAGGAGGACAGAGGCTTGCATAAAAGTTGTGTATGCTCATTTATATGTATAGATGCAAATTGTGAAACAAAACTATAATTTAAACAGAAATGGAATATATTTTTGTTTAAACTGAAATGGAATACAAACAGAAATGGAATACAATTGTGCCCGCCCCGTGGAATGCCCTCCCATCAGATGTCAAGGAAATAAGCAGCTATCCTATTTTTAGAAGACATCTGAAGGCAGCCTGTTTAGGGAAGTTTTTAATATTTAATGCTGTATTGTTTTTAGCTCTCGATTGGGAGCTGCCCAGAGTGGCTGGGGAAACTCAGCCAGATGAGCGGGGTATAAATAATAAATTATTATTATTATTATTATTATTATTATTATTATTATCTCTCCGCAATGGGAGAGCCATGTGACTGAGCAATCTGTGTGCCTGCCTATTCTGCTGTCCAGGGTGCTAACTGCTGATGGGCAGCTTCAAGGCCTCTGCTCTTTCTTCTCATGGTTGTTTATCTTCAAACCAGGCAGCCCTTCAAAGGACTGTAAAGCTGGCCACCCTAACCTGAGACCAGCATAGAGGCTTACCTCCTGCAACACAAGCACTCAAAGCCCTACAAAATCAATACTTCTATGCCAGTTGCATCAACTCATCCTCTGATAGCAACACAGCCTTCCTGGCTCAGCCAGACCAGCCATGATCATGCTTCCTACCTCTGGCCTCTGGTTTTTGTTTCCCCGATTCAGTAACAGACCTCCAATCCATTGACCCTATTGACCCTATCGCCTATTTCTATTTTGACCCATCTGTGTCAGACATAGACCTCACTGCTGAAAAGCTGTATCCCAGGACTAAGAGAAACTCTAGTCAGGCAAAGTAGCCTCGATTATTACTCTGTAATATTTCTGATATAATACAGGAGGCTGGTTTGCATGAACAGTCTCCTTAAAGAACAGGCTTCATTGAAATGCATTGAGCCTAATAAAAAATACATCCAGTTCATCTTGGAGGTCTCCTTTTCAGCTGTTTTCTATGCTGATGCCTTCCTTTCCTTTTCTCTTTCAGGAAAAAGAAAGCAAGTGCTGGGTACACAGGGGCTATGAGGAGTCGAGACAGGAGCCACTTGATTTTTACTCAAACAACAGGAGCTGGACCAGATAGGTTGAGACTCTGTAGTGCCACATAGAATTATTCTGCCCCTATGTGTTAGCCAAAGAGTAGAATTACAGCATTGTAATTACAGCAACACTGATGGAAAGTAGACGTAGCAGATAACCGGACAGTAAATGTTTAATTTGTGCATGCAGAGGTGCTATTTGGTTTTTTGACCCTCTTATTATGCTTTCATAATAAATGAAGAGAGAGGTGGTGCCAGAGCAAGTGGTGTAAAGATGTAGGCAGAATTAAGCTGAATACCTATTGCTGGGAATCACAAGTGGAGAGAGCTGTTGTACTTAGGTCCTGCTCGTGGGCTTCTGCTTGTGCAAACAGGATGATGGACTAGATCCAGCTCTTCTTGGGTTTTGAAAGATCTTACCCTTTCTAACAGTGACAATGTATTAAATGATTACTTTGGGGCTGATGGGAGGCAAGGAAAAGCACAAGGAACTATTCAGAGAAATGCAGGAAATGTGTATGTTTGATGGCCAACAAATCACGAGGGCAATGTAATTTGTTTCTTCGTCCTTTTTGGATAGGCTAAATGTTTAGGAAACGCTGCTCAACATTCGGAGTTCCTCTCTACTAAGTGACAGGCAAGAATTGCCTTCATCTGCAGCTTACTGGGGATATCCGCAGGCTTACAAGCTCAAGGCCCATGAGGTGTGCCCTCAGTTAACTTACACTCTTCAGTGAGCATCAGTCCTCTAGGAACCATGGATGGCTTCAGTCACTACGACCTGTGCTTGCGTTGCCAGCAGCCTGGCAGCAGCTCTTACCAAAAGTGCATCCACATTTCAAGCATTAAGAATAACTTCAGCAGTAAAAGCTTGCCTGAGCAGGCTGGGTTTTTTCTTCAGGGATTGGATCTATAGGAACACACAGATGTATAACTTGCTCCCACAATCAATACCACATGTCTTCTTGGGCCATGTTGATCCCCTTCCATCCTGCACTGCAGTTAAAGACAGTTTCATTTTTCATTTTATTATATTTATATCTCCCCATTTTCTCCATCACGGAACCCAAGGCAGCATACATTTCATTCTCACCTATCCAGGCACTGACTTTGCTTCAGTAAGGTGACACTTCATGTGCCTTGAGACCATGATCAATTGTGCAATGGACACATGTGCATATCTGCACATGATACTATTAGAAGATCTTCCCATGCCACATTGTTTATCATTTTAGAAAACCTTTTGGTGCTCCTGCTAGTAGCCACAAAACTTTGACAGCATAAAACTTTGGGTAGCAGCTAAATTATTCCAGCGTGATCCACTATCCTATTACCAACACCTTTGGGAGCAAGAGAAACAAAGATGCAGACTGAAATTATTCCATCAGGATTCCAGAAGCAAGTGCTTTCAGAATCCAAGAATGTCTATCTGCTATTACATAGCCTTGTTGGGCTAAAGACAGGCTGCTCTCTCCTGACAGATATATCCCTGTGCATTCTTTCAAGTCAACTCATATTCTTCATTAAGCATAGTCAAAATTAGGGCAAATTTGCATGTAGTTGTTTATCATGCATGATTTACTCTGCTTTTGTCAGCTCTTCCCCTGAACACTTACAAGCTCCTCAAATACTTCCTCCAGCTTTTGATAAATCAGAAGGATGTGTTTCCAAGTTTATCTGCTCAGCCATAAAAATGTGAAAGCTTGGGTTCTCAGAATGTTGTATCCTGTGTCCAGTATACCAAACTGCATTTGGGGCAGTGCAGTGGCACAAGTGTAGAATATACTAAGACCTACCTGTGGACCACAGTTCAAGACACCTTGGCTTAGGATTCAATAGCGTACATTGCCTGTCTTCCACATGAAGCAAATGTCAAGGAGGCAAAGGAAAGAGAGTGGGGAAAGAGTGAGGAAATCACATTAGCACTGCGTTGGAAAGAAAGTGGGAGAAGAGAATGCAGGAGGGAGAAATAAGGAGAAATGTGTCTAGAAGAGAGATAAATTGGGGAAGTAAAGAAAAAAGAAAGCAGCAGAGATTTGTGCAGGGAAATCCCAACAGAAAACAAGAGTAGTACCATTTCTACCGCACTAGGACACCAGCAGCCCAGATGTGTTTCATCACAAATGCACCTGAGAGTGAAACAATCAGACCTACCAGTCACCCCCACCCCATTTCTGCCCTTGCCCTTTCTTCATTACCTTCTCTGCCGACTGTGATGTCCCAAAGAAGATAGGAATGAAAGCTAACCAGACGATGCAGGTAGTGTACATGGTGAACCCAATGGGCTTGGCTTCATTAAAGGTCTCAGGAACCCCACGGGTCTTTATAGCATACACAGTGCAGGTCACCATGAGCAGCATGCTGTACCCAAGCAAACAGATGAGGGAGAGGTCAGAAATGTCACACTTGAGAACCCCCCGGGCAAAGCGGGGGTCCGTAGTCCGTTGGTCCTCATAGTCGATGATGGAGTGTGAGGGGTCCACAATGAACCAGATGCAGACCCCCAGCAGCTGCAGAGAGATGAGGCTGAACGTGATGACCAGCTGAGAAGCAGGACTGATGAAGCGCGGAGCGCTGACCGACTTTTTGCCCTGCTCAAAGATGCGGTAGATGCGGTTGGTTTTGGTCAGCAAGGCAGCGTAGCTGATGCTCATGCCCAGCCCCAGGAAGACACGCCGCAGAGAGCAGGTTCCCAAGTCAGGCTCTGCAATCATCAGAAAAGTGGTGGCATAGCAGAGGAAGATGCCCGTCAGGAGCACATAGCTGAGCTCTCGCCCCGAGGCCTTGACGATGGGTGTGTCATTGTAGCGCACAAATGTCACCACCACAAAGAGGGTGGCAATGATGCCCACAATGGCAATGAAAACGGGCACCACAGCCCAAGGGGAGCTCCACTCAAGCTTGACGATGGGGATGGGGATGCAGCCAGTGTGGTTTTCGTTGGGGCGCTCGCTGAGCCGGCACACCTTACAGTGGAACTCGTCCTGCTGATACTGGTACCCATCACAGCGCTCACAGTGCCAGCAGCACGGGATGCCCTTCACCAGCTTCTTCCTTTCACCCGGCCTGCATGGCTGGCTGCAGATTGAGGTGGGCACACGGTTGCCTCCCCCAGGCCAATGCAGGCGCTCCATCTGCAGCAGAGAGAAAGCAAGAATCTCACCAACCACCATGAACTAACATGGCATGAGCTGGGTCACAGCAGGGGCTGGTGTCAGCTTCCCCTGCCAACTCTGCAAACCACTTGCTCTAGTCTATGCCATGTCCAGCTATTCTAGCATTGCTCCCTCTGATTCAGTAGCAGTTTCAGGTGTGAGGAACATGTGGTCCTCCTGATGTTCTTGGACTACAACTCCCATCATGCCCAACCATTGGCATGGGGCAATGCCTGGGGCTGGTAGAAGTTGCAGTCCAACAACACCAGGAGAACCACAAGTTCCCAACCCTAATTTAGTTTCTCATCTCTATCAGCTGTGCATGGAATGCTACTAATTCAAGCTTAGACCCTCCTGTTCTTCAATTCCAACCTGATATCATGTCACAGAGTAAGTGTTGTTGCTAGTCAAACCACTGACACTAACTTTACTGAACTTAACTGCTCGTGGATGCTAAGTGGTCTAATACATCTCTCATTTCCCTCCTTCACAGTTCCTCATATTTACTACAGACCTGCAATTCCACACTGCAGTTTGTTGCCCCTTCCCCTTGATAGGTTAATTTTTGTCTTAACACTCAGCCAGCTCTGAATTAGACCTGAAATGAAACTTTACACAAGTTTAGAATTCCACAATATTTAAGATTCTGGATTTGTTTATTGTCAAATTTTACTGTTGAAATTCAGTTCTGTTGAACAGTCAACCAAGAATAAACACTTTATCCCATTGACAAATCGGGAGTCTTAAATTAAAGATTTGCAAAATTCTTCCCAATTGAGATTGTGACCTTAAATCTTAAGTCTTGCTGGTGAATTGTTGCTAACGTACCCATAAATTTGTCAAGTGCAATACTTTTTAAAGCATGTGTTCCCATTAAAAATCCAGTTTTCTGCTGTGCTTTATTACCCATGGCATAAGTTGGGCTGTTGCAATGAAAGAGATCAGAGAGAAACCAGAGCGAAATGCTTTCAGAAATCTCTCTGTATGATATTAATGATGCCTATGTATAAGGATAAGGATAATCCCATTTAAACTAGAGCCCTTGAGCATACAATAAGTACAGCTCCATTTCCTAATTAAAACACTGGAGCTTCAGAGTAAAAGTTTATTCCCTTCGGTGTTTAGGCAAATCTAAGATCTTGCTTACTTTTAAGTTCAGATGATCAGCCCAGTGCCCAATAACTTTGTACTCAGGTGTAGTGTTCTTGATCTGGTACTGGTAGATGTCATAGCGGCCTGGGGCATCTCCATTCTCATTGAATGTCACAGGGGTCCCAGCAATACCTGCAACACACAAAGCATTCAGTCTCAGAAAGAAATACATTGCTGGTTTGGGCTGTATATTTTATCTACCAAAGGTAAGTTTGTCCCTTTTCTTCTCCTAGAAGCAAATGTACATGCACACATATACACGGGAATCCTGAGTGTAATCCATCCAAAGTACATCCATTCATTCATATCTCACCTTTCATCCACAGAGTACATAGCTCTCCATTTTATTATCACAACAACCCTGTGAGGTAGGTTAGGCTGAGAGTGAATAACTGGCCCAAGGTCACCCAAAGAGCTTCATGGCCAGATTGGGATTTGAACCCTGATCCCACAGGTCCTAGTCCAACACTCTAACCACTATACCACACAGGTTGTCTGCAGTACATCAGAAGTCCAATTGGGCTTAGCTTACCAGGTTCAACTCTGCCACTATTATCAAGGGGACACAGTTAACTCTGCCTGGATTTTGCTCCAATTCACCTGAGGGCTTTTAGCAAATGCAAAGTTGTGAAGTTGTGGAATAAGTGAACTAAAGCTGCAGGATATGTGAACCAAATCTCATTGCTTAGGCTGCACTCCAACCCTCTGATTGGTCATTCTAGAGATCGGGTAGAGGTCTCCCTCCATCCAGTCCAAAACAACTCTGCTGGCCTCCATGTGTGGAGTGACACCGCCATCACTTCTCCAGCATGAAGCTCCCCATTCCACCCACCAGAAGTACAGGTAGATGGAAGTGCGGTGGAAAACCCACCAGCTGAGTGTTCCTGGATCTCAAGCTGGTCCTACAACCATCACTTGACATTGTTGGGCTTTAGGCTAGCATATAATAGAGAAGGGAGTTCCTTGCTCCCTTGCTGGTATGGGCATCAGGGATGCAGTAGTGATTACACAGAGGTTGGGATTCCTCTGTAACTTTATTATTATTATTATTATTATATAGAAGAACAGATATAGGATACAGATTTCCAGCTGCTGTGTACCCAAATGGCTCCCCAACTTTTGAGTTGGACTGGCTCTACTGCCATTAATAATCTAGCCCACACTCTTATCTAAAATAGTTAAAAGCTAGTTCTTTACCTTGGGCAAGCAGAAAATAACATTAGTCTTACTCCTCGGCTCCTTGTGTTGCCTAGAGAAATCCTTGTGGCTTTTTCTGCTCACATAGTGATAACGCCTACAATTATATATTTGCACAGAGCTAGGGCTCCAATAAATTCCCTTCATGGATCAGGCCTCCCACTCAGTTAAGGTATAGTGCAACCTGGGAAGCAACTGACCATTTTTAAAAAACACATAAGGCTGAAATCAGTTTTGTTTAACATCAGTTCCAAATAAGACAGTGAAACTGCACACAGACCCATAGTGGGGGATGGTGGGGCTAGCTAGTTGTTGTTGTTTTTTGCCCCTGGTGAAGCCTTCAGAATGGCACTATTGAGGCTCCCAGCCTGTGTGTGTGTGTGTGTGTGTGTGTGTGTTGTGTGTGTGCCAAACTGGGTCTCTGATCTGGGTGAAATAAATCCTAGTTTCACTCCTCCCTGCACAGCTGCATTAGGAATAGAATTTTCTATAATAATAAAAAAATCTCAATGTTGGGCTTATCTACACAATTGTTTCCTATTTTTGTTTTGCTCGTTTAGCTCAATGGGAAGCAAGGTGGAGGGCGGGGTTATAGTTCTGCTAAAAATACGAACAAACCTTGCTTATTATATGAAGTATCATACAAATTATTAAATGCATTATTTTGGGCAAATTATAGACATATACATGCCAGGTTTCCTAAAGTAGCTGGCACATAACCAGATGCATACAACAATACATATAGCTGTATAGAAATACTTAACATATCAATACTTATTCAATCACGCTACATAAATGAGCCATGGCTGGTGTCCATTCAGAGTGATGGAGCAAAAGGCAAAAAGGCCAACAGGAGCTCGAGCCAAAGCCAACGATGACAGAGCCAACTAATTTTAGTTTTGGCTTCATCCCCCTCCCTGCTGAATTCTACAAGAGCAACACTGAGGACAGCATAGCCGTTCCTTCCATTTAAAGCACATTCAACACGCATTTAAACTTCCTTTCAAAGGATCCTGGGAACTTTAATTTCTTAAGGGTGCTAGGAATTGTAGCTGGGTGAGGGGAAAACTGCAGTTCCCAGAAATTTTTGAAGGAAATCATGTGCAGTGAAGGTGCTTTAAATGGATGTTGTGGATCTTTCCTAAGAACCGGTTGTGAGTAAGAAGATAGGCAGGCGGGGCTGACTAAGGCTGACAAAGCTGGCTAATTTTGCATATAATTGGGCTTATTTATTTATTTATTCATTTAATAACTAATCCCAAAATACATGGTCCAATTTCGGACAAAGCTCAATCAGACTACTGGAAAAGTCCAATCCTGTGTTTAATTCCATTTGAAAAGGATTCCTCCTCTGCACCAAGCCTGCATGTGGAGCCCATTTGATCCCTTTCCCAAATTCCCTCCTGCGTTAACAGCATTCATGAATGGCACAAAAATCATAACGGAGACCCAAATATGCTGTTAGGTGACACACAGAGAAAAAAACACTTGGAAGTGCCTTGCCAAACAAGTTTGTAATTTGAATATAAAATGAAAAGGCCTAGAGAGCATAAATTTACGATTGTGTTTTATCAATTAAATTGTTTGCCACCAACTGTGTGAATGTGGTCAAATTTCTCGTAGGCACCAGAGCAGAGAGAGAGGGAGGGGAGGGAGAAAAGCGGGGGGCGGGGGTGCAAGTTTCCTGTGGGTTATATAAGGAATCAGACTGCATAAGGGACAAAGAAAAGGACACTTTCTTTTTGCTTGTCATTCACCCAATCAGTTCCATTATGTACATAAAGCACGCTCCAAAGGACATCACACAGGCCTCCCTCCCTCTCTGGATCTTCCTGCATATTGTTACTCCCCTGCTGGATGTCCAGGCATATTCTTCTTCCCTAAGCCATTGAGCAATGAATCCATACATAGTGACAGTACATCATGAGGCTACATCATTCATTCACCAAGAGCGGTAATCCCCTCTCAGTATTCAATCAGAGAGCTTGAGACAGAAAATAACAACACATTTATATAGAGTCGGGTGGACGTGCATGTCATGAAATCAAAGAGCTGAAAGCCGGGGCTGGAAGGAGGCTCGGTGCAGGCAGGTGCTGAAAGCAATTCTGCAAGACGTACCTAACGGAGCTTCCTTCCCTCACCTTGCAATGTGCCTCCACTCCCAGGAGACTAGATCCTGTCCCCACAAACCTGAAGAAATGTGCTGCAGTCAAGACCCCCTGTGCGCTAGATCGCTGAGATCTCAATAGTCACTGGAGACAATTAAGAACATAAGAAGAGTCAGGCCAAAGGTTTATCTAGTCCAGCATCCTCAAAGTGGCCGACTAGATGCCCACAAGCAATAGCATTCTCCCCACCTGTGACTTCCAGCAACTGGTATTCAGTGGAGGCTGATCTATTTGGGCCAATGGGGCAGTGCCACCCCACTCTCATGTGTCCTCAGTCAGCCCTCACCTGCCTCTCTTCTTACTTTCAACCTCTCCAGGGGTGGCTCTGCCCATCAGCTCCTTCCTCCTTTGTCTCTTTGTTGTCCCTTGTAAAGCTCAGCAGGGCAAAGGATGGGGACAAAGCTAGGATTTGTTGGCTCTGCCTACCTTTGGCTCTGGCTCACCCTACTGTTAGGCTCCCTG